TGGAAAATGCCACACTCTGCTTGAGGTTATCAGGGTTCATCAGTTTGCAGACATGGGTTTATTAAAAATTAGGAGGCCAAATGATGTATTTGTTATCATATCTAAACATCCTGGCTGCTACTCTATATCAGATTCCTATGAAAGTACAGAAAACTAAATGATAGATAACTAAGGGGCTTATTTTATTTTCACCAGAAAAATTCAATTTCTGAGAAATACATTTGAGGAAGTTGATCTTGACAAACATACAAATTAAAGATAGAAAATAAGCAATGTATGTGGGAATTTAATTTATTACTTTGCAAGGTAACTCTGATACATCTCAAGGAAAGGAAATTATCTTAATATGTATAATGTGATGTCAGGCTGGTTCATATCTGGCTTGGGGAAGCCTAGAGAAACCAAGGGGACAAAGTGGCCTAAAATTACATAGGTTAGGAACAGAAATGCAAAAAAGGGGTATTATTAAGGGGTAAGTTACATATTTGATTAGCTTTATTTTCTTAGTTATTTATGAGTATTAATGAAAATATGTAATTCTCCAGGACTGAAATCTTAGGACTTTATATTTTCTGCGTAGTGAACAGTTAGTGGGTGCCATACATTATTATCTCAATCTCTATTGACCTGTGGTTCACTATATTCACTTTTGGTGATATTTCCAATTAAAATTACTTAAATTGTATTGTTTCTGAGAAGTCATGTTTTTGGTTTCTCTTGATATATTTTTCTTTTAAATAGTTTTAATAAATCTATGTTCAAGTTCACAAAATTTATTTTAAATCATCAGGATATTAGGTTCCTATGCTGATTGGGCACAGAAGCTTTTCTTTATTGGTTTAAGAGACTTCCCTGATTTCCAGACTTGGAAGTGTGATCTCATGAGATTTAAGGCCTATAAAGCTTTGTATCTCAATGAAATAATCCTATCTCATCACAACAAACAGGTATTGCCCTTGTCTGATTAGGCTCATGGTAGTTCCGGATGGATTCACTTGGCTAATGGACCAAATTTGAGGCTGGGTCTATATACCCAAAATGGAGGAGAAAGAAGGATCCTGATTGCAAGTATAAAACTATGTCTGCCCGAGTTTGGTCTGTTTAGAACAAAAGTTTCTTGGAGAGGAGAATTTGTGTAGTTGACCTTTGAATTTTTAATTCTTCAGATTTTATATGACACATGGAAAGCAAGTAGTAAATGTTTCAAGAGTGAATTACAACATGATTATTTATTTGAACTAATTCATTTACTGATTTATAAAGTTCTGGTCAATGCCACAGAACACGAAGAAGTCAAATATCTTCTTTGTCCATGCTTTTTTATTGGCATTTTCTTACCCTAATCATGTGTTTCCCTTGATCCTCCTGCAACTTTATGAATTTAGGTATTATTATTCACTTTTAACAAAGGGTAAAACTGAGGCTAAGGGACAAGAAATGATAAGACAGAATATTGCACTTTAATCTGTCTCATTGATTCCTTGTTGTCTCTCCTGTGTCTTCAAAACATAATATTTTCACTACTTCCTACCACCTTGCAACTTTGTACCTATAAAGTGAATATATATAATAGATGAACATATATAAATAACATACTCATTTTATAGGTAAGTATATACAAACCCATACATATGTACAGGTATACATACTTTTGCTCTCTCCCAGGTGATAGCCAAATGTGTCGATAAATATTAATAATAAAAATGTTAAAAAGAAAAAGAAAAAGAAAAATAGGGTCTAGTCAGTTATATAGTTTCTGTTTTTTCTTTATTTTGAAACAGCAAAGTAGCTGCAACAGCCATGGAGCTAGCTCAGTGCTCGTTAAAAAAAGATTGTAAATCTGCACTAGTATTGTGCATTTTTATGCCCAGTAAAAACCTCCACTCTTTAGGAAGTTCTCAGGTAAACATAATACGCACATCACAGGAATATACTGTTGCTCTGAACTATTTCACATCATCTTCAGAAACTTTTTCTGAGTATCCAGATGTGGATAGTGTTGTATTACATGGTCAGAGAGAACTGCACATACCCCACTTCCAGCACAATGATTGGAACAATTCTGACACCTGCTCCCCAGAGAATATGGACTCTGATAATTTGTTAAAATCTTATAGATACAAGTTCTAAAATCTTACAAATATAGTTCTAGAACATTCTCTTGCCATTCTAATAAGCCTTGTGTAAGCTACAAAATAATTTTTCCTCTTTCTAAATTATGAAATATGCGACGCTTTGTTTGACGTAAAAATTTACCCAGACGCATCTCCCAACATGCTCTGTTTCACTATTTACTCAATTAGTACTAAAATCCCAGAAGACGCTTTTGTACAACTAAAGACAATATGTTGTTGCTTACAGGGAAGAGGTGGCTAGGGTGATATGTTGTGTTTAATACTTCTTTAGCCAATAAAAAAATCGACTGGGCCAAAGGGAAGAATTCTTCCCTTAGGATAAACAATATCTCACAGATAGTCTATAGTCTTGTTTTGGTTGCGAAGGGAAATGCCTCCATAATACTAACTCTGCAGGCCTCTCAGATCAGAGATGCCATCAGCCATTACATTAATGCTAGCACACTTTAACTTAATGAAATGCATTTCCCGCTGTTATCACAAAACTCACTTGAGAGAAGCAATATAGTATTAATACAAATGACATAACAGGCAGAAATGCCTTGTTCTTTGATTTAAAAAGTAACCATATTCTCTACGTGCATAAATATGTATCAGTATCAAATTCAATTTAGTTTCTCACTAGCTCTCATACCGGTATCCTCTTTTCCTCTACTTTTATATATTGTCTTATGGAGTGAATTTGCAGATAATCTGTGCTCTGCATGAAACATGAATTGTATCTGTGAGGCCTTGGGATCAACACTTGTTGATAGATCACTGAAAGGAGCCAGGTGATGACACAACAGGGGCAGGATTACAACTCAAAACTGGCAAATAATGTGTGGCCTTAAATTTTGTTCTTGTATATTCATATGCATTAAGCATTATTATTGGTCCTAAAAATTTTTTTATAATGCAAAGTTCTTATGTTGAGGAATCTTGCAATCTGCAGAATATAGAAGTAGCAACACAGAGGGCCATTGTGCATGATAGGTGCTGTCGTATACTTATAGAGGAGGTGCTCCATGCATGATAGATTCAGTGCGTCCCCTAAAATCCATGCATGACTGCATCACGGAAGGCACCACAGGAGAGTGACTGAGCAGATTACGGTGAGCAGAATCAGGGAAAACTCTAGAGTTTTCAGGCCCCCAATTAAGACGGATGATAGGAAATCTGCCATAGTTTAAAAGAATATTGGGGTGCCTGGATGGCTCAGTCAGTCAGCCGTCTGACTTTGGCTCAGGTCATGATCTCACAGCTAGTGGGTTCAAGTCCAGCATCAGGCTCTTTGCTAACAGCCCAGAGCCTGGAGCCTGCTTTGGATTCTGTTTCTCCCTCTCTTTCTCTGCCCCCTCCCCCACTTGCTCTGTCTGTCTCTCAAAAATAAATTTAAAAACATTAAAAAAAAAAAAAGAATATTGAGGGCTTACCTTGATGTCGTATAAGAAATGACTCCAAATTCCTATGTGGTAGAAATGTGAATACGAGTCTGCCAGGAAGGTGGACTGCACCCCCAACACCCTGCCACAAATTAATAACATCTTGCAAGACCTTGCTTTATTCGAACTATTTCTTGAAGAGGTGTTTGAAAAGCTAGAATAGATCTGAGGTAAGGATGTATGGTTCCTGGATAAACCATACATCCTTTAGGTACTGTTTAGATACTGGAACACTGATTCTGTTTTAACTGGGAAAGCATAAGGAATTCAGAGTTGCTGTAAAGTTTGTGTCCCAGATGAAGGTGTGTATTAAGGGTGCAAATAAAAACTTGACTTAATGGCATGACTCTGGAAGCATTGGTTTGTCTTTTCAGGTATTTGATAATTCACTCCACCAGATTTCCCATCTATAAAAGATAGGTCACCAATCAGTTGGTCCAGATGTGAAATCAGATCAAGTCCAGATCTTTATAAAGTAAACTTAAACCACATATTAGGCTCAGCTCCAGTAAGAAATGTCTAAATTAAGCTGCCTATGTAAAGCAGAACTTGTTGGTTAAAATGTGATAGTTGACCATCATTAAAATGATAAGTGTCCTCGTTTCCATCATCCACAGTCTACTTACCGGGGACAAACTTATTTTGCATGATCTTTAAATACCTTTGGGTGACTCTGGTGTCACATTTAAGAACGATAGTGTACAATTTTCCATCAAAATGTAACTACATTCTTGATGCCTCACATTCACATCTTTCTAGGATTTGATAAAAGACATAATGGATTCATTGACAGTCCTAATTCTCACCCAGTAAGTGTATCTTCTGACAGGCTGCTGCGAAGACAATGCTATTCAGTGACAGCCTTCAATTGCACACTGCCAATACACACTTTTCTTGGTGATTAGAGTTCTTCTGTAGCGGACTAATGGATGACTTTAATCCTTTTTAAGCTCTAAACTTATGACACTTTGCTGACTCTGTAAAACAATATATAATATAGTTCTCCACCTTTTCTGGTGTGTGTGTTTCTAGAGTCTATTCATCAGCATGATGCCTGATTTTTTAAAGGATGATTTTAGAGCTTGCAGCCAATTACAATGGAGATATTCAGGATAGGAGAGAAACATTTCACTGTCAAATGCCTTGTTTATCTTCATAAATGATATACATGTCCCCTGACATCATTTTTTATGTGTTCTGCAAGTATTATATTAGCTTGACTTGGTGGTCATTTCTGGCTTCTCATAATGTGGCTGGTCCTAAACAAATCTCAGAAGTAACTGGCATTCGTTGTCAGCACCTTCCCTCCCATTGAATTCAGGATCAAAGTAGTGCTTTGACACATTAGAAAATCACCATTAACACCTCAGCTGTAACTCTTCTCTCTAGCGTGACCCCATATTTCTTAAATTTCCTTATAACTCTTCTTTTTGCTTTTCAGAGAAAAGCATTCTGACAATCAAAGAAGAGTCAGATGATAAATAGCTTCAGACATTGACCTTCTAGTGGTGATTTCATGCTAATAGCAAGCCCCTGGAATAAATGCCTCAAAATAAAGCAATGAATTATTAAAGATAGTACTTCGTAAAATGTGTCTGTATGCTTGGGGAGGGCTTTTGAAGAAGGAGTCCCTCTCTGTTTCTCACAAATATGTTCAGATAATGGCTATCTTCTGCTGCTTATAAGGGCATATACACATAATTAAGAGCAACACTGAAGTGGCTTCTGTTTGCGGTAAAAAAAAAAAGTTTTCATATGTTAATGAATCCAAATTAATATTAGCTTTTGATACATTGGGTGAATTATTCCATTTTAAGATTTTACATATAATTCTACACTAGTACTGAAAAATATCTCTCAAAATTACTTGGGCAGACCTGACTAAATACTGTGAAATCAAGAATGTATTTAAAAACATATCTAAAGGATATGCACTAGTTTTAGGAATATAATGCATGTTTGTGGGTGTATATATATTTATACATATGTATATGCACATATGTACAAATATGTATATATTTTTAAAAATACACAGATGTGTGCACACATGTTTTCAGAGAGAAAATAAAAATGTCATATATATGCTTTGAATTGTGGAAAACTTTAAGCATTTGTTAAGAAAATGTACATATAGGGGTGCATGGGTGGCTCAGTCAGTTGAGCATCCAACTTCAGCTCAGGTCATGATCTAACGGTTCGTGAGTTTGAGCCCCGTGTTGGGCTCTGTGCTGACAGCTCTGTGCTGACAGAGCCTGGAGCCTGTCTTCAGACTCTGTGACTCCCTCTCTCTCTGACCCTCCACTGTTCACACTGTCTCTCTCTCTCTCTCAAAAATAAATTTTTTAAAAATTAAAAAAAGAAAATGTACATATATTTTCAAAATAATTATATATATTTTGCCTAATAGTGATAGAATATAAGCTTATAAAATTACTTTATTTATTGTATTTCCTTCTCACGCATAGACCCAAGTACATAGTATGCATAAAAAATGTCAATAAAGAGAACTCCAGCTCAATCTTAAAAACCCCAACCTTATTAATAGCATATGATAGATAAATGCAAAATTTATCAAAATACTTACACATAACATCAAACTTTTTACATGTGGGCAGATTCACAGTAGTTTCTTCGGAATTTCACATTGCTTGCTATTTGCCCTCTTCAAAGAGATTGTCATTCTAAAGGCTAAAGTGCTGTTATGGTATTTCTTGAAGAGTTAAACTACCCTAAAGAACAATATAAGGTTGTGTCAAGAACCACAGAAAACAATAAATAAAATACCTCAGAAACTTGGGCCCTGAAAAGTTTCTGCATATTTTATGACCTTTTAATATGTCTTACTCGAATGATTCCTTTAAAAAGAGGCTAATAGATTTGTGGTTAGTGTTTTTCTCCCACACTCATTTGTTCCCAGCAGTTCTTGGTGTTTCCTAGAGGTGTGTACCTTTCCTGCTTCACTACTTCAGTGCTTTGAGCACACTGATTTCTGTCAGAAATCTCCAGGGAGCATTCTCTCATTGTCAGGTGAAATGCACATTGTAACAATGAGACTGGCAGTCGTCAACAATTCCAAGAGAAATGTAAAATCTTGGAGATTTCCTAGGAGAAAAGAAACAACGTTGCATTGAAAAAGTGGGCAGAAAATAATTTCCCCCTTCCTTATTTCCTTTTCAGTCAAAGTAGCAAGTGCAAAGTATGATACTTCTAACAGTATAGTGGAAGTTTCGATTGTTAAATCATTTGCCTAAACTTTGGGATGGCATTGCATCACTTTACTGTTAATGTAGAAATTAAACCTTAAGTGATAGGATTGAGTGTACTAGCATAATTTTAATTGGGAGGTCTACTGAATAGATTTAATAACTTGAGTAACTTAATGTTTTATTTCTGTGACCCCACTAAATTCTGCTTAACTAATATGCACTAATTACTTACTATGTGCAAGATGTTCCAAAGACAAATATTAAAATGTAATGTTTTTAAATTAAAATAAAATTATAGGATTTTGATTCAAGGCAAGATAAACACTTCTTAACCTGATTATTCCACTGAACAGTACTATAAAATCTGAATAGATGCATAACACAGCTAATAGAAGATTCCAAAAATGAAACAGTAGCTCGATTGAATAGAAAATATTACTTAAATGAAAGGAGTTTACCAATATCTGTCTGATATTGCCCAACCTGGTTTCAGAGGAACTTTAAACCGGGAAGTGGATATCACTACAGAAAGCGAGATCTTCAGGAGAATTCCTCTAGTTCTGGTTTGAGGAGTGGTTTGTTTACAGCTTAGACCAAACTAATATAATTGAACTAATGTGAGTTCACTCTTGAGGAGTCACAGAAACTACACCAAGTGAGCTGTTGTACAAAGGAAACTTGATTTGCAGGAAGTGAGATCCCAGGGAATAACTTTCAAAGACATGGTCCCTTGAGCAAGGGAAAATGGATTCCTTTTACTTAGGGTTGGTATGAATTTAAGATAGGGAAGACTTGTTGTATGCAGAGGCAGGCATAAGATCACATGTGCCCCTTAAGGAAATGGTCTATATATACATTGTTATGTAAATGAGACTGGAGACCCCCTATGGGCAGAGATTTTAGTATTATAATGAGATAATGAGGTAAAGGTCATTCTAGAGGTCACTGCATGGTCCACCTGTGCAAGCTTGATCTGGAGGTTTAGCTCAAACTGGTCTCTGTGGACTGGGCCAGCGGCAGGTCTTGTCAGGACAATGGACATCACCTCAGGGGTTGTTTCAAGTTTCATTTGCCTAAGTTAGGAGATAAATTGGAAAGGAGAGTGTAAGCAAAAATGTAAGACCAAGATTGGTGAGTAGAAGCAGGTGGTCAGTAAAAGTCAAGTCTTGGGCCCTTTGACAGCTGCAGCATGGTCCTGTCATCACTTAAAAAGGGGAGACTTCTTCAGTTAGAGAAGCTGTTGTCCCAAGAAGATGGAGTGAACCCCCAATTGCTTTTTCTGTCTCTGTCTTCTTGTCATTTGTTCCCAGATGTGGTCACAGTAATGTTAAGAGTTCAGCAAAGAGTTTAAAGCTCTAGCTTTCTAACTAGAGAAATGAATAGGAGGGCCCTAAGAAAAGCTGCACCCAAAGAAATCACAAAAAGAAAAAAGCTTAGAAAAGCGACCCATGATTTTGCTTGTAAATATCTCTGTGTTCACCTTTGATTTGCGTATGCATGGATCTGATGTTAAACACCATACTTTGAGAGCTGAACAGAAAGAATGGCTATTACTATAGACCCCCAAAGTATTGAAAGGGTTATATGCATATTCAACAACTTTGGAATGAAACCAGTACCATCTGGATAGTAAAATCAGAGAAAGATTCTCCAAGAAAAGGTAACAACAAATGAATATCATTCATGAACCTAAATTAAAAATCTTCAAAAAAATTACTTCTATACTGAATCCAACAATATACAAGAAAAATGTACCATAACCTAATGATGTCTGTATAGAAGTCTTGTTCAGTATTCAAAAATTGATTAACATATTAACGGTCCACCATATTAATAGTCTAGAGAAGGGGCGCCTGGTGGCTCAGTAGGTTGAGCATCTGACTTTGGCTCAGGTCGTAATCTCATGGTTCATGGGTTCGAGCCCTGCATCGGGCTCTGTGCTGACAGCTGGGAACCTGGAGTCTGCTTCAGATTCTGTGGTCTCCTTCTCTCTCTGACCCTCCCGTGCTCACACTGTCTCTCTCTCTCTCAGAAATAAATAAAAACATTAAAAAAAATTTTTAATAGTCTAGAGAAGAAATGAACATGATTAATTAATGAATAAAAACTGTTTGTAAAAATTTACCTATCCATTCATTAAAAAAACAACTATTAGAAAGCAAGTAATTAAAGGGAATTTCCTAAAACTGATAAAGTTGAGGAACATAGCAACATCATTCTTAATGTTGAAAGATACAATGCCTTCCCCCTAAAAGCAGGAACAAGGCAAGAATTTTAATTTCTACCACTCCTATCCAACAATGTCCTAGAAGGTCTTGCCAGTATATTATAACAAGACCAAAAAAAGTGTGCAAATGAAAAAGGAAGAAATTAGTATGTACCTTTCTTCATATACATGATTCTGCATGTAGAAAACACCAGGGGATCTACTCTAAAGATATCTCCTATAATTAATAAGGTTGTTTGCAAAACCACAAGATACAAGGTCAACACATACAGGTAAAAATATTATTGTATTTTAATATACTAAGAATAATTAAAAACAACTTTTTAAATAACACCATAAATAACAGCTCCCCTGAACAAAAAACAATACTTAGATATAAATTTACCAAAACATGTACAAGATTTACATACTAAACATTAAGAAAGCTGATGAAATATATCAAAGAACTCATGTTATGTTTAAGGACTGGGAGACCCAAAGTAAAATTGATAATTTTCACCACGTCCATCCATATATTTAACACAATTCCACACAAAATCTTAACAGGAACTTTTATAGTTATAAACAAAATGGTTTTAATGTTTATACAGAAAGGCAAATGAACTAGAATAGGCAAAACAATTTTATAAAAGATGAATATAGATGGAGGGATTACACTACCTGATTTTAAGACTTAACTGTGAAGCTGCAGTAATCAAGACAGTGCAGTATTGGTGAAGGGATACACACATAGATCAATGGAACAGAGTAAAGTCTCCCGAAATAGACACAATTGATTTTTGGTGAATGTTCAAAGGCAACTCAATGGGCTTAGAAAAAATATTTGCAAATCACATATCTGATGATAGACTTTTATATAGGATACATAGAGAGCTTTCAAAACTTAACACTAAAAATGCCAAACAACTCAAGTTTAAAAAGGACAAGTGACTTAGAAACTTACCAAAGGGGATTTATGGTTGAAAATGAGCACATAAAAAGATGGTCATTATTAATTAGGGATATGCAAATGAAAAAAAATGATGTGGTCCACTCCAAATGATTTGAAGGATACCAAATGCTAGTGAGTGACTGTAA